TTTACACTCTGCAACATTTTTGAAAGAGTGAGAGTTACCGACCAATCCAATATCCTTTGCCAAGTAAAGAACATCTTGCCAAGTGCTATAATTCTCTGGGCATATGGGGAGAACACGTGAGAATAGAAGTTTAAATCGCTCCGCAGGATCCAGAAAGTTAACAGCTAGACGCAACTTTTCTGACAACACGTATTTCTCACTCGTTTGAGCATCGTCCATGAGTCCTACAAAAGGGGCAGACCTACTCCAATATGCCTGGATCCCATCATGATACCTTGACTCATCCCATCCGCTGATGTCATTACCTAGGACCCATCCTTCAGCTGTGTACCAACTAAAGGCACAGTGTCCAGGCTGCCCTATTGGCATTGCTGGCACCCCAAAAGCTTGACAGGCTGCAACCCCAAATTTGGAGACCACCCCACAAACTCCTCCTTCTTGGTGGAGAAGCATCAGGGTTTCAGGACGGTGGTTATAAAAAGCGGAACCATCGTGGATTGAAACACCTTCATCATTGGTCGCCCTATATTTTATCATGGTGTGTGTGGCCTCTCCTATCTTTTCTGAAGATTGAAACTCGAGAGGTATGTTTATCCTAGCCCACTCTAACTCGTCATCCTCTGCAAAGGATCCCACCACATATCGAAGATGCCAGCAGGTCATCTTGTCTAACATTCCAAAAAGAGGACTAGGCTTCATGTCCCACCAGCCCACAAAGCTTAGATACCGCCTAATTGGATCAATTTCCTTACCTTCCTTCCTCAATGCATACGATATAACAGGCATTGCAAAGGTAAGTGCTACAGCCACAGCTAACTTCAGTTTAACTGGGTGTTTGGTAGCGTGAGGATCTAACCGGAGGATGGATTTTAACAAATCAAGAGCTCTCATCCAGTCTCCATTCTCTATGTCTCCACTTGTCATGAACGCTTCTAACAGGGCTCTGTCTCTGATTATGTTCTGAGTCTCTTTACATTCCAGTAACTGTGAAAGGGGCGTGGTGCTGTCAGATAATTTAGAGAACAATTTCCATTGTAAGATATCCACAGAACCAGTGTTAGATAAACAGTATTGTTCCAGATCTTGCTTGTGTTTTTCAACAGAGTCAGTTATCTTCTTTTCAAGCTCCTCCATTTCCTGATGTTACATGTTTTAAATTCAAAATCATTTCAGTATAACAGGGTGATCCGTTATCTTAAATTCACAAATTAATAAGATTGGTCCTTATAAAATTATGATACCCACTAACACAATATAGAATACTTGCAAACTGTTGTATGGAGTTACCCAGTTATCTGAGTTAAAAACACGCTCTTAAGATCTTATCTAAATCACTATAAATAGGACCTGGGAGGTGTCCCGGAATTTGATATTTGATATTACAGTCAAGCTGTTATGTGAGATAAATATTTTAAAAACGTTTCGCATTGTTGTACTAGTGTTGAGCACCTGTCATGAAATTTAACACAACGAAAATGTGATTGGCTGCCGGCTGGTTTTAAGGTTTAATTTAAGAGATGTTTATTAATTATATCATTGAAATGAAGACGAGTAAAAGTAAAATTGAAGTTGGAGGCTATTTTCATTGTGACTCGGTTATAAATTGATTCATGGCGCTTGTGCAACTTGTTATTTGAAACGTAATATGGTGACTTCATAAACCTGACAAAGAGCCCACAGCACTGATTTAATTTGCGTGATGATAGTGCAAGGAAATATTATGTTTGACATTTAGTGGTGGTTTCCTTGTTTTCTGTTGTTTTCGCACCATTTTGTGACCCGTATAGGATTTTGTGACCCTTCGTGTACATTGTACCTTGATCATCCGAACGACAAAAATCACCGGCAATTAAGATGTGATGCAGATAAAGTTCCTTTATACTAGCCACAAGCCATTTTATTGTAAGGTTTTGAAACTGGGCATATTCTGATTTAAGACTGCTTGTTGCTTAGAATAGAGTAAATAATAAATATCGTTATCTGAAATTTGAATACTTTCCAGTATAAACGCATGAACAGGATGGCTTCGCTAGTTCCGTGCATTCAAGTACCAATGAACTTTGGGCTGGAATATCTCGGCTCCCCCTCCCATGGCAACCTGAAGTTTCTTTTGAAAGATGAAGTACTTCTCGCAAACTCAGCAATAATATCCTTCAACAGTCCTGTTATAAAAAAAATAACAGTAGAACTTTTCCAAACAGAAATTGAAGTTAAAGAATTCTCTAAAAGCGCAGTACAATGTTTCCTAGAAGCCTCATATTCTGGTACTTTGAAAGATATCTCAAAACTCAACTTCAGAGACCTCAACAAAATAGTCCATATTTTTGAGGTAAACTGGTTGATAGAAAAGTGCTTTGAGTACTTTCAGGAATTGACGGAGTCCGTAAGAGAGGATAATTTTGACGAGCAGTTATTCTTATTTGATGAAGCCATGTATACTCTGGACAAATTGAAAAAGAAAACTTTCATAGATGTGGTAATCAAGAAATTTACATCTTCTGCAACCTGCACACAGTTTTTTATGACCAAATACCTCAGCGATTTCTCATCCTGTTCTACAAAGAATATTGATGTGATAATGGAACTTACTGCTAATCAGGAGCATGTTCTTGTGGAAGCTCTTATCAACAACTTGGAAAGGACTGAAAATACTCTTGATCAGACCAGCAGATACATACTCCAGAGGTTGACCTATAAAGATTGTTCTTCTACTTACGAGACTGTCTATCAACGACTGTTCGAGAAGCTGGCAGAACTGGAGAACCCGACAACTGAGGACTTCCGGCTCGTCGTGAGGGCTCTGCAACATTACAATAAAGCCCAGAAGGAAATAAAAGATTCCACTTTATCATTCGCAGCTCTGCCAAACTTGTTTCTTGATTTTCAGCAGCTCAAGAACATAAACGATCTTGATGAGCTGACGACCTTTTTGATAGAATCTCCAATGGTGAAAAACAGCTATATTTTCTTTGAAGCTGTTTATAATTGGCTTTGTGATAAAAGAATTGATATAAATACACCTTTCGTATCCATCAGCGACGAATTCATTGAACAATTTTCTCATACAATGCAGAGCAGAGAATGGAAACCTCTAGAACTCGAATACATGAGGCAAAAAAATGGAGTATATCTTGGTGGCTTGATTTATAAAATACTAAAAAAAGCCAGCATGGTATCTGGAAACTGTTCCAATTGCATACCATCCATATCTGAATACTCTCCAGAAGAACTATTTGCACGAGATCACAACATTAAGTTTAAATTCAAACAGGCCTCTATAACAAACTGCATCAAGGAAGGGGATTGTGGGTTTATACTGCGAGTAACAGCTGCAACAGGGAAAAAAGATGGTAGCTTTAACATACGACTAGTTACAGATCCCAACCTCTACCCTGATGATATACATTTTCACAGAGAATCCCACATGCTAGCTGATAATATTCACTTTACTCTTGTCATAACCTTAGACGGCACAACCTATCTCATCCAACCGGTAACGTGGTATGGTAGACCTTGTCTAGATAAAACTGACAAATACTGGTACTGGGGAAGACATTGTTTCTGGAAACCAGGGGAAACAACCTGGTCTAGGGGTATGGGAGATCCCTTGAAGTGGGCACGTTTTTACAGTTCAACCGCAAAGATAAGACCTGTCGTGTACATTGTGTAAATTGGGGTAATCAGAAGAGTTAGCTAGAAGGTATTCTGTAACACTCATAGATTGTAATGACAAGATGAAGAACAGTGGAATGTTTTTTTAAAACTCATCATATCTGCATTTTTACGTTTAATATTAAATTAAAATATTTATTTTAAAAACCGTTAGTTTAACGCAAAGTTTTCTTGAAAAGTTCGATTTTCCAGATTAAACAATTAAGGGGGAGTTCACCAGGATTTTCTTGTGAAAATTTATTTGGAGATAGGAAATCAAATCTTGAAACCCTATTGAGTTCTATTGTTTTGAACGAAATCAGTTTCGCGAACTGAGATATGGGCGATTTTGTTCATTTTTTGCGATTATTTGAACACAAAATCCACAGATAGGTAGATATTGAGCTGATATTCATAGCGAATGTGTAGTTTAGGCTTACCTTTTATATAAAGTTAGTTTCATTCAAAAATATTGATATTTAGCCAATTTATGGGCCAAAATCGTTAAAATTTGGTGTGTATGCCCAAATATGGGCATATGGTTTTTTAGCTCATAACTCGGTCATTTTTGTCCGATACATTTTACAAATACAATCACTGAAAAGTGTAAGAGTACAACTCGTACTGTACAAGTAACTCAAACTGTACATTTTACAAGTACAAATACCGAAGTACAAACTGAAACAGCCAACACATCAATCTCGGGAATGTAGACGTTATAAGCTACTAGTGATTTACACAGTACGTTTTCTATGTGTCTCCAGTACATGGTATAATACATTATACCTTATACATAGCAACATGTATTATAACAATGCCTCGCAGAATATGGCTTCTAAAGTTACAAGAGCATCTGGATAAAAATATAATAGTACAACAAAAATTTAAAGAGAAGAGGTCCATTCTACTTATTAACTTAACACGAAATGACCTTATGGCTAATACCCATATCAATAACACTGAGCGGCACTGAACATTGATTAAACATTATATGATACACACACTAAATTTAAGCTCCCATATTAATATAACACCTGGGAAGATAAAACAATGAAAGTGAAAGATACTGATGTAAGAAAGTTACATCATCAGGGGGAATTACACTAAATTTGAACTGGTCCTATTTGGCACTTACTTTTTTCGCGCATTGGCCATTGGGTCGACGAACAGGACGCGCCAAAAAGCCGCTAATTAATAAATTTGTGGGGTCTAGATTGTCACGATACTTCCTACAGCTATTACAGTACTGTTATAATGGCTTATGAAGGCAACATATATAGCTATGACATATTATAACAGGATGTATATTGTATAATGTATACTTACATAACAACATGTATTATTTGCAGGTCGAGTAACGGTAGGGTGCTAATGATAACCTCTTACGATGGTTTCTGTACTGTACTCTCATTTGATCAGGACGAACTTGGCACTCCCTACTCCTCTCAGCCTGCCCAGATCAACTCTCCTAGACTTCTTCTGCGGCCCGAAACCAAATCTAAAAAGAAAAAGAAGAGCAGCCCCAAAAACAGCGAGAAGAAAAACAGTGGTGTAGAAAATAAGGACCCTAATTCAGTTCAGACGACTGTCACTGCTGATTCTTGTGTTGTTGCCATGGAAGTGAAGGAAGGAAAGGATCTGCCTGCCAATGAACCTTGTGTCACCCCAAAAAGGCAAAACGGCATCAGTACAGCACCAAAGGAACTGCTGAACAATAATCACGTGACCCCGGTACGAGAAAAGGAACTGCTGAACAATAATCACGTGACCCCGGTACGAGAATCAGAGTCAGTGGTAAAACGGATCACCCCGATAAAGGTATCGGAGGTACAGAAAAGTCGGGAGATGAAGCCGGAGGGCGTGGTGGAGGTGATGGTATCAGAGAACACTGATAATATCAATAATAAACCAGTCAGTAAACCTCCGAGAAGGCTGGCCCTCACTAAAATAGAATGAAATGTGATATTTTACTGACTTTTGTTCAGTTTGAGGCGTTCTAGCCAATCCTAAAATACGAAGATGGTGTTCTGCTCACTTGTCACTGTGTAGTATGTGTTAGCCTAAAAGGATATTCGCCAGGATTTTCCTCCTGGCCTTGTTTGATTGTTGTTTCTTGAAATCGTATGGCTACTAATAAAATTTGCAGATCTATTATCGACTGACCTTTAAGTTGCAGTTTTGTTAGATTTTGTTTTATTCAGTCACATGATTTTTTAGATTTTTAATTTTACCACACGTTTTAGTTTAAAATTTAGATATTTGCTTTGGTATATTTCAGTCTAACTCTAACTCAAACTCTTAATTTGGTCTGCGCCAAGCTTTAGGTTTGGCTGGCTAGTGGCTCTAACAATGAACATGTGAACTCTGGACCCGCGCAAACGAATCGAACCTCTAAACGAACCTACACTTAAGTTAAACAGTGTAATTCTTAAGTAAGTATTCAGTATTGGAATCTGCAGGCTTGGATAAAATACATCATTCTGACCTTGTTTAATTTAATTTTTTTTAATTGTGTGAACTATTGTACTAATGGAAGGGCATTTTATCATGACTTAAATTTTACAGTTAAACCTCCATATACCGGGGGAAAAACCCGGTATAGAGTCATAGGTTCACGTGAACCAAATCCTGAATCTCCATTATCTGTACAACAACAAGATACAAGGGCAGGTCTCTCCCGAACGTTGGGATGGCCTGAGGTGCTTATCTCCTTTTCAGTAACCCTAAGCCACTCTGTGCCGAGGCACTATACTAGCTGTAGGGGGGTTAGTCCTACGAGCCAGAGAGTGTGTATAACCAGCCGAAGCTGTACCAAATCACAGCTTGGTAACTGGCCGACTTGCATCCGACCGGATTTGAACCCGGGTCTTCTGCTTGGGAGGCGATCGTGTTACCACTACACCACCCGGCTCTTAAATAACCTGTCAACCATTTGCCATTTGCCATTAGGGCCTTACATACATACATTATACACGTATTGTGTCTTATTGCGAGGGAATACAACCCAGTCACCACCAAATGCGATGTGAGCTCTGATTAATCACATTGTTTGAACCTACAGGTCAAACAAGGACTAAGTAACTAAAAGTTTAGGTTGGGGGAAGAAGAAGCCCGTAGTCAGTTTATCGAGATACTCGGTATAGAAAGGCACTATATATAGAGGGACGCCTGTATTGCGAATTGTGTGACATGCCCATCTTAGAAAACGATACTGTCGAAAATCTTGTTACTTCTAGTATAGAATCACTTCTACAGAAAGTTTCTTGCCGTTCCAACTTCATAGAAATTAAAATTTTCTGTTCATCATTTTTAGTGCCATATAATTATAAACATGGCAGGAAAATGTTACAAATGTAAGCTCTAAAATTCGCCAGATGAATGAAGGTATCTTATGTAGAAAGGGATTGGCATCTGTAATATTAATATTATGATAATTCATTCCTTTGAAGTTGTACATCATACTGATACATGTGTTCTTGTTCTGGTTTTTACTTTTGGAGGGACTTGATTTGACGATGCAAATGTTACTTCTGAATTCAATTGTGAATTGTATTTCCTGACAAAAACGCATTACATTTGTTGTATTTGGCGCGCACTATATTTTATATTGTATATGAATATCTCTACGATGTATGACGAAAAATACACCAAAGTCAAAAGTATGAAATATGAAATAGTATTACCTGGCACGCCAATCCCAATGTGCGGCGCTCTTTTCGAGCTTCTCACATTTAATTGAGTGAGAGGGGCAAGGGTCGACCGAGTCCTCGGCCTCAGTTTTACCGAGGAATAGCGATTTTTCCTCGGGCTCGGCCAACAAAATGAAACCTCGGTTGTCCTCGGCCTCGGTTTAATCAAAGCAAAATTTCCTCGGCCTCGGTCGCAAATCCTGCCCTCGGTCGACCCTTGGAGAGGGGGGGGGGAGAGGGGTGATCATCATCAATAGACTATGGACTAGAATTGCAAGCCAGGTAACAAGTTGTATCACCTCGTGACCCCGAACGTGCTAAATCACTCTACGGTCGATCTTCGATATTGTTCTAAAAGGCCCCCTGACAGTTTGTAATTGTTAGTTGAATCCAACTTCAATCGATGTAAATATTTTCGGACGCTGATTCCGAATCACCCCCATGAGTATGACACAGGGTTAAAATGCTCCCCTGACGAGATATCATGGCGAAAACCTGTCTCGATCACGTGACATGACCGTATAAGGAAGTTAGTCTAATGTCTAGTTAGGGTTAGTGTTTCAGCATATGCTTTTGTGTTTTGGGTTCACATATGTGATATGTGTATACGCGTTCTGCGTGACGCGCGGCGCTTGTTTCCCGTGCCGAGTTCGACGGTCGCGCGCTACTGCAAGCGAGAGGGCTCCGGTTAGAGCAAAGGATTGGGTTAGGGTTAAGGTTGGGATAAGATAAGAGGGTTACTAGGGTTTCGAATATAGTAGTCGTTTAGGACCAGCTAGAGAACGGGTTGAAAAAGTCACGTGACAGTCGAATGATTAATCATCATCCAAAATAAATCGATTGAAGTTGGTTTCAACTGTCGGGGGTCCTTTTAGTTTACTGGGCCGCGCTCAGCCTGTCATTCCGCCAAATCTATATTCGGGCTGAGTTGACATAAATTCTGTGATATGTCTACCACCTTTTTCCACTTGATTGTATTAACCTTTAGACCTCCGGCTTTTGTGTTCTTTAACACGATTGATATATAATATGGTGGAATGACATTGGTCGCGTTTTTGGTGTGGAATGCTAGGCGAGTTGTCGTGTGATCATTAACAATTCAGTAATAGTAATACTAGTTATACCATCATGAAACCTTTGATCCGTCAAAGTTCGGGATTGCAATTGCAATTGCAAATTGACCAAAACAAATGAGAAACTTCATAAAGTATCACAACGCTACCGCACTAGTAACCTACAACATGTCGCTTGTCGGCTTGTTGCCACTGTCACATACTGCTTTTAAAAGGTCTACCGATATGCGATTATCATTACAAAACATATATTTTGCGCGCTCAGCATTCCACGCGCAAAAACGCGCCCGTCCGAGAGACCTGCGCGTATTAGAGGGTTCAGTCTCACCAGGCTATGTTAATGAACATAATAGCCTGGGGTCCTCAGGTAACTTTTAGTTTAGAACAATCTTAAAGATCGACTGTAGTGTGTAGAGTCAAAAGTGATTTAACACGCTCGAGATTTTGAGTTGTCTTAAAATCTCCAGAAAAGTGTCATTTTGGGCCGATCAAAAGTTTGCAAATTGAACTTTGCAGATTTCTGTACTCTGATTGGCTGAATTGTTTCACGTGCCATGCTAGCTGCTTGGATATTGGAATGCGTCACGCGTGTAAATCAATGAGCTTAATTGTTAATATCGCGCGCGAGCTAAAGCCGTCTGTTTAAATGAAACCACCTTTAGTAACACCGCCAGCCAATAAGTTTTGCTGCGTAACAAGCAAGCTAGGTAATTACATTGTTAACGGGTGATACTTTCACCTAACCATGTGCTTTCGCGCCACTGCGGGCGCGCGCCACTGCAAGGGCTTTTGATTTGTATCACGTGGTGACCCCCACTGTCGCTTCACTATAGTAGAGTTTCTACGATACAGGGGAGCCGCGCACTCGTGCGCGGCGGGTCATACAACGTATGACAACTCTGGATAGAGCAAGGTGATACTCGTAAATATTTGTTTCAAATATACAGGACCGTCCGCGTCGACGAGTTTAACTCGGCGCGCCCCAGGAACCCTGACCGGATGGGGCTTAACTTTGAAAGTAAAAGAGTTGGAGACTTCCGGTTTTTTGTAACATGTTCCTCTTTTAAAAGTAACGTTACCTCTCCAGGAGGAAAATTCAAGACAACGTAATTGTTGAGTTATATCAAAATCTCCAGAAAAGTCCCCTTTCGGGCCGATCAAAAGTTTGCAACTTTAACTTTGCGGATTCCTGTACTCTGGTTGGCTGAATTGTGTCACGTGAACATTGGAATACGCCACGCGTGCAAATCATGCTTGTTGTTGCGCGCGAGGTCAAGCCGTCTGTTTAAATTAAACCAACTCTAGTACCACCACCAGCCGGTAACTTTTCATGGGGCGTCCTGGTAGGTTTAAACCTACAATCCACAGGCTATCATATTTATATGTTCATTATCATAAATTAGAGATTAGGCGGAATGACAGGCTGAGCGCCGCCCAGTAAGCTTGGTAATTGTAACAGGTAAGATTGACAATTGACATAGACGGATGTTACAGGTTACTCGTCTAAATTTCTACGAAGTAGCACGCGCCGGGCCATATCATTAACAATGGTGATCAACAATTGACAATAAGTCGATCAAACTTTGTAGGTTTATAACCTACCAGGTCAACGCCCGTCCTGGTAGGTTATATAATCAATAATAAACCTACAAACAACAAAGTTTGCTCTGCAGCTTATTGTCAATTGTTGATCACCATTGTTAATAAATAATAATATGGCCCGGCGCGCGCTACTTTGTAGCTCGTGCCATAACATTTCAAGAAGAAAGCGGCGCGCGCTACTTCGAAGAAATTTAGACGAGTAACATCCGTCAAGACGGGCGCCGAGTTGGACTCGTCGACGGTCCTAATTTGAAACAAATATTTTACAAGTATCACCTTGCTCTAACCGGAGCCCTTTCGCTTGCAGTAGCGCGCGACCGCCGAAGGCGGCACGCTTGAGAAACAAGCGCGTCACGCAGTACGCGTATACACATGCCATGGCTATATAAAAGTATCACCCGTTACTGACTCATGACTATATGATGGTAATTTTAGCATTAATTTTTCATTTTTGTCCAATGTTAATGTCTATTGTCCTAATCCAATTTTAACAAATTTGTTACAAAAGCTTTAATAACATTTGAACAGTTAAACAAGGGCCAGGGAAACTTTTCGAAAAAGTTTGAGCATATCCAATTTGATCCACGATGGGACCAGGTTGCGTAGGCCGCGCTATCCACAGTAGCTGTTTGGCGCTGCTAGTCGCGCTGGCGTCGGCGCGTTACGTGTACGTATTATGATATTTTGACGTCAGTTTACAAATACACCGTGATTGTTGCGCGCGCGACCTAGCCATGCGCTATCCGAATTTATCTTTTCAATAAAGAAAACTACAAAATAACAAATATGCAAATTTTGAATTAGGAAATTATTAAGTAATTGATGATTTAAAGTTATTTTAATATAGCTTGTATAAATGTTTCATTATTATGTGTAAAAAGATAGCCTGTGGAATCGAGCGCTACTCTTAATTTAGTAGTATTTCCCTAATAATAGCATTTTCACTTGTCGCAACATCCGGGATAAAGATAATTTTACACAAAATACATTAGTAGTGTTGACTAGTGCTTATGAACCAGAAAAACGCCTACTTAATTATCTTATTTTTTACTGTTCAAGCAAGTTGCATTGTTACCTGATTTTGAAGCTGACTTGAATTTGATATCGTTTACAAGTCTCGGAAATGCCATGCTATCTGTATTACATGATATGCCTGCTCGAGCTTTTGTTAATACACATATTTAAACTACATTGCCTAAACTTTGATGTGAATTTCCATTTATGAGACTTCGTTGAATCCTTGATATGATAATTTCAAAGATATTCAAACAAATGATAACATATTGATTGCTGTACATTACAGGTCCATGAATTCTCACATACTATCTCCAGGACAAAGCACACATGTTTATCTAGTTTGTTTATTTGAGGCTATACTGTGAGTTCTCACTTCTCATGACTTGTGTAAAATCCGTTCAAGTGCTTCACTTCTGAAATTTAGCATTATGACCATGTTTAAGTTCTTCAAGAAATTAGCGGAAAAACTTTCTAGGAAATCAGGCCAACGATACAAGGATACAAGGATACAAGGATACAAAAGTGATAATTATTTTATTGAGTTCACAATAGTTATAATTCTGAAATAATTTAAGTTACACACTTCTAATCATTTACAAATGTGTAGGGATAAAATAGAAATGTTATAATATAATGCTATTTTCTTTAAGTAAATCAAATTTGTATGGTTCATGAGTTTATTTTGAGTTCCTAGAGCATTATGCACTTGCCAGTATTTGAGTGGAAATCTGGGCTCTTATAATAGGCTGTATATTGTTCGTTCACAGAGAGAATTGAATGGATTGCTCTTGCTGTGGCAGTAAATTTGGTAGGATCTAGATTTTTGTTGGAGAGCAGACCGGCTAGGTCAGTGATGTTTTGGGGATAAAAGTTGAATTTTTCCCTAACTGAGGAGTAAAGCAAACAGTCAATTAATACATGGCTTTCGTCCTCGATAGGTTTGAGCCCTTTACTGAAAAAGCAGTAAGTGCACCAACGTTCTTCTCTTGGTACAAGAGGGGTTTCGTATCTGCCCCTTTCAACGTAGAGGTTGTGGCAGCTGATACGAAACCTTGTCAAGCTTTTTCGAAAATCAGGTACTTTGATTATTCGTAGGTATGCCTCTGGTTCAAAATCATGTTTAATTAAGTTATAGAATTCTAGTTTCGGTGAGGAGGCCTTGGCAGATTTCCAGGTATTCA